GACCTTTTCTGCCCACCCTTACAGTTACCGTCTTTTCCTGGAACATTTCCATTGTTATAATCTCCATGTGTTGTGAGATGATACAAATGATATTATTACTGCTCTTATGAATTTACAATGAGCCTTTAATATTTTTACTTACAGCTCAGCTCTTGTCAAGAAAGTCTCATCTTCAAATAAGAATAAAACTAGGGAAGCTAGCTGACAATTCAGGCCTCAGACAGAGGGAAGCTTAAAAAGGTGAGGAAAGCTGGTGTAAGTTTTGTGACTTTTTTTAGAGCTAAACTCTTTTTCTGTATGGATTTATTTCTATGTGGAGTGATTGCGATTTAACACAGCATTGTGTTGTGTTTTGCTGCATTATCTATGCACTGGCTTAAGCAGGTCGTTAGTCTGATGAATTTTACAAACCCAGTCCACAGGCAGCGAGGGAGCCTGCACCCAGGGAGAGCTTGCTTCATGAAACAGATTGCAACCAGAGCAGGTGCTAGTTCGACGTGTAAGACGTGACTGAAGGGGTGACCCTGTTTCAAGGCAGCCAGGCTTTTGTTTACATGTGCGAAGAAGTTTCTGTGAAAGTGATGGAAGTGAGAGCTGGGGGCTTTCGAGTGGCTGACCCAAGAACACTTCTGCTCACAGATCTTGTCAAGCCAGCGCCCAGGATCTCGGCTGGTGGCTGCTGCCGCTGCCCTGCTGGGGCTCAGGGTGGTGAGCACTGGGGAGCAGCCTGCATCCCCCCAGGAGCTGGTGGCTTTAAAGTAACCTGACTGTTTGGGAAGTCCTTTTTCACAGCAGTGCTGCACTTGTGGGTTTGCTGCCTGAATCCGAAACGCAGCAGGAGGTATTTCTTAAGCTGAAGTGGGAATTTTTTTTTCTCCTTAGTTAGTGGCTGTGTAAGTGGAACTTTTATTTCTCCCACAGATCATATTTTAATCACAGCGACTGAAAACTCCTTTCTTGTGTGCATGCAGCTTTCTCTTAATTTAAAGAAACCAAAGATCAATCCATATAAGGCAGGTAATACAGCTTGCCATTTCACAGCAGGAAGATGACGCAATGTATTCCAAAGAGAAGTGTGCCGCTTTCTTCCTGTTTGAAACTTAAGCCATCTCCAAGTGCAATTACTGGAGGATTCAATATCTATTCTAATCCTAAATCTTTATCAAAGCTGCTTCTGGCAAATCTAGTGTACAAAGCAAATGTGTTTGTTAAATGGTGCTACAGATGACAGAACTCTGCAATTGCTTTGTCACTGTCAAGTTCACGTTATTGTCTTTGTAAAACAAATCCATTACGAAAAGCATTCCTGTGCTCTCTGCTTTCTGCTTCTTATTTTCTGTGCTGGATACGTGTTTTAGGTGGAATGCACTGGTAATCTGGATGATACTAAAATGTGCATAGTGTAGCAACATTTGTTTATGTTTTAATGGTAGCCTAAACCCCTCTAACATTAACAGTACTGAGCAAATAGACAGTATATACTATTTCACTGTAGGTGTGGATTCATAGATTAGGTGGTGAAAAGGCTGAACCTGGTTAGTAGTTTGGATTGGTTGGCCTAACCCTAACATGAGTAAACTGGTTCTCTTGCAGACAGATCATATATATCTGAAAGATAATGACAAAAAAAAGCCAGTAAGATAATGCAAATCTCTGAGTTCAGGTCTAGGACTGAGGTAGGGAGAGGGAGTATCCCACAAAAAGAAGGGAGAAGCTAACCTAAAACTCAGTGCCAGTGGAGATTCTGCCAATGAAGCTGAACCTGTCACAGGAACAACTCCCATCAATGGCAGGATTTCCTATCATTTGCACGAGAGCAGCACAAGACCCTTAGTCTCTTCAAGCGGGATGTTGGAAGGTAGACTGTGCATTTCTAGAGGATTTCCAGAACACAAATTCATAGCAGATAGCATCATAAAAGGAAGGGGAAAAGGAAGACTGATCCTACAAAGCATTGCTTAGAAATGTGGACAAAGGCAGGAGAAGCAATTCAACTGTATCCCCCAGACATACTGTGGAAGTGGAATTTCCCTTTACAGTGTCGTGCACAATGAGGACAGGGGCCTGTGTGTGCTGCAGATAACCCACCTTGTGCCCTGTGGACTTTGCCAGGTGTCAGGACGACCATTCCAGATGTTGCTGGTGGGCTTGGGGAGAGGATGCAGAGAGATGGATGACTTCAGTGAGGGCAAAGCCAGACAGGTTACTGCTAATTTGTGGAGACTGATGGTAGGCTTTTTAAAAGAAAGTGTAATAGGAACAGGGGGCTCTTTCTCCTAAAATTTTGGCAAAGGATGGTGGTGAAATCCCACAGGAACAGGAGGGTTTTGATGACAACTGGACTGGGACAAGAAAACTGACCTCTGTGGATTTTGAAAAATGAAGAATTTAAAACACTTCTGCTTTTGGCCTACCTCTAACTATGGTGGTGCTCTGTAACTCCTTGCATTCAGATAGGAATGTCAGGGCAGAAGGATACTCTTTCCTCTCCACTGGTCTCTTGGAAAGGTCCCTGTACAATCCATACAATTTCTGCAGTGTGTCCTGGGGAACCACGCTTGCCTTTTCTCTAAAATACCAGTCATTTTTCCCTGTAAGTTCTGGACCCTTTCATGGATGATACTTGATAACACTTCCACATGCAGCTCCTAATCTTTTGTAAGACTCTCTCACACAAAAATACTTTTCTGGAGAAAAGTCTGTCACAGTGCCCATCCAGCTGCTTGACTCTTTCTGGTTTACCAATTGTAAATCTTTACTTGGATATACTCAGATTCCTTACAGAGAGCTCAGCTGCTAGAAATAATCAGTTACCTCTGATCCGTGAACCTCTGCTTTTTTAGAAAATATAAAATATTAGCTGGCCTGATTGAAACCTGTAGTTCTGTAGACTTGTACCCTTACAAGAAAAAAAGAGTTTAAAAAAGGTTTTTTCTATTTTTCATTTCAAATATTAATTGAAGTAATCGATTTACGGATGCACAGTGAAGTCCTTTGTTCTCTAAGTGCTATAAATCAGAGGATTTTCTAAACCATCCCCCGTGATTTTTACCTATATCCTGTTTTCAGTTCTGTTTCACTCAGCAGAGTCAGGATGTGAAGCAAACCTGGCAACAAACCTGTTAACTGTTTGGGTGGAACTTTCTCTGCCTAGGCTGCCTCTTCAGCACTGAGCCCTGCCTCTAGTGCTCTGCAAGCTGCAGATTGCTGAGTGATGTATAGCTATTTCATGGCGTAATGTCAGTGTTAGCATTTGTTTTACAATGTTTAAGAAACAGTTTTATGTTCTTATGTTATAGAGCAAAGCTTTGTGAAATGCTTCTTGTTGCAATGCAGTGCAGCTGTGGCACTCTGAAAAATAAAGCCCAGGTTTGTGGA